ATAATATTTGCAACACATTCAACCGTTTTTATATATATATATATATATATATATATATATACGGTATCTTTATTTCACAAAAAAAAATATCAAAACTATGGTGGCCCATAACTGTCACGGCAACAACTTTCAAAGTGTCACGGCCACATTTTCGAAATTCATGGCAACAAATTTCGAAACCACACGGCATACTTTAAAAAGTCACGGCATACTTTCAAAATTCACCGCACACTTTTAAAAACCACGACACACTTTCAAAATTCACTGCACACTTTAAAACCATGGTACACTTTTGAAATGTCACGTCAAACTTTTCAAAAGCAGCCGAACCTGAATTGTACAGTAGAAATAGTTTAAGATTTGCGAACAAAATCACAAATTCACATTACCCAAAGTAAGCGACAGTTAAGATACTTTACAAAACAGCAAACACCATTAAAAGTCACAAACAAAAGGAAAACACCTGAAATTGCACAACCCAAAAAAATATTCGACTACCCACCAGCACCAATTAATTATCACCTATAACACTTAATTTTAATTAATTAAATTATTTATATACATATAAAGGTATTTATTATAAGGTTATATTTATTAATTATTATTATTATTCTAATTATTATTCTAATTAGAATAATAATGATAAAATACATTATCTTAATTTAGGACCACAGAAAAGTGGTCTTTAATTGGAGGTGCTGCAACTGGAGTTTTTAACTAATAGATTAATAACTGTATTCCAATAATTCAACAAATGGTTTTATAGCCCGTAAACAATGTTTCGTCCAAAAAGCATAGATGCTTTGCAAGTTGTTAAAAACAGAAAATAAAATGTTACCTATGGTAACACCAAGGAGGTTGTCACCAGGGCTTATTTGGGTTAAAATTGGGCTTACAATTTAGTACAATGTGGCAACCTGTTTGTCAAGTTAAGATAATGTTAAAACATGGAGGTATCCATGGTTAAAACAAGGTCAAAGACAACTAGAGAAGTTGAGAAGCAGGACTGTAATTTTTATAGCTGATGAGAGGTGTGACTATTAGTAAGAATAAGAAAGATTCAAGATTTTACTGATATCATATGATTAGGGAGAGCATATAGAATTTGGTGAGTTTTGTTTTCTTCCGATATATTGTATCTTAATTGAAATTTAGCCAACTTTAGATTTGTTCTCATCCTAAACCAAATACCAGGGAGATGTTACCTTGCTAATGCTACACTAAGTAGGTAACAAGATGAGATAGATCCAGGGACCATCTCATAAATTGAGGTACCTGTTGCTAGCATTTTAGAATGCTTTATGCTTTGTTGACCTATATAGGTATGTGATGTAGCCCAGTAGTTTGCACAGCTACAATTTTATTATTTACTTGACATAGCTTTAATTGTTAAAGGTATTAAAGTATAGCAAACATATAATACCAGTTTGAGATCTAATTGTTTTATGCTAAACTGATGGATTTCAGTTTAGGGGCATTTAAAGCACTATTTTTTAAAGCATTATCATAACGTATTTATAGGCCATTTCAAATGATTTGTGGTTTATTTAGAATAATAGATTGGAATCCTGTTAAATCTACATATAGTCATCATAATGTAACCAATGCATATTATTGCTTTACATCATTAAGTAACTCATAACTATACTGTTTTATGGTGATTTTATAAGACTTATAATTTATAGATAATGCTCTATTCATAATTCATTGTAAATTACTGTAATTTTATATTACAGTTAATCATTATCACGGAACTCTTAGTATTAAAGACGAGCTGTAGCATAAGGCTACAGAAACAGGAACATTGAGTGCTGTGTGTGATCTTTCATCTTGTTTCCTCCCAAAAATTGGACAGTACACTGCACTTGCTTGTTTTAGTACAGCAAAACTTCATAAAATTTGATTACACTATTTGGCTTACTGATCCTTCAATTAAATTCATAATAAACTTGATAAAAGTATCTAATTCAGACTTTTTTTTATACTTTGTCAAGTTTTAGAGTAAATTTTTTTCTTTATGTTTATTATGCCCGCTGTTGCTTTGAAATCTCCAAAAATAAGATAGTATATTTCTTCCTAATTACAAGTTAAGTTTCTAAGTTACTAAGTTTCGCAATCGTCAGAGGGGAGTGGAAAAAAATAATATTTAGCAAATAATTTTGTCAGACAGACAGAAATAATCATAACATTTTATCAGTGAATGTAAACAGTGTAGTAATAGGATGGTTAAATGCTTTAAATTTATATAATTGGGCATCAAATTTTTTGAGATTTCAAGGCAGCAGCGGGCATAATAAAATTAATTTTTTTTTTTTTTTTTTTTTTTTTTTCTGATATTTTCCATTTCTTTCATAGCAGTAGGTGTGCTAATTGGCCAAAAATAAAATTTTATTTTTATTCAAAATCATTATTGGCAGGTAGAAGGTAAACCAAAAAAAAAACCATAACCAGACCAAAACTAAACCAGGAATGAAGGTTTCGCCTAACATACTGATGTCAATATATATATTTGTCTTCCTTTAAAAATATTTCTATTCTTAAAATTAAAAGTAATGCTGTACAGTATTACTGTATAGTTTATAATTACAATTGATCTGCAATATTGTTTAATTCTTTAGTTTTCAGAGTGTTCAATTTGGAACTCATACACTTTATCGTGAGTTTGATTTTATTCAAAAAACATCGCATAATAGAGCATCGTTTATATGTACTTTCTGGAAGTGTTACAAATACATTGGAAAAAGTGGAGGTAGGTATTTTCAAAAAAATTTCTAGCATATTTTTAACCTATATATTTCACATATACAAAACCCCTGAAAAAGTCACAATATTTTAATTAGTAAATGTAACCTCTATCTGTATGTTTAACAAGGAATCGGTGGCATATTTATGGGGTGTGCAAATACTCCCCCCTCCAAAATACTTGCCCACCAAGTTGCCCCCCCCCCCTCCACAAATGATGCTAAAGTAGGTAAAATCAGTATATTTATTGACAGTCTATCATATAAAGTTATTTGTGTGTTTTTCCAGACTTGTTGAATGTACAGGAGTATCATTCACTGCTGTGTTTATTGTGTCCAGATTTTCCTTTGGATGTTGTACAGAGGACTGCTCACATCATATTCATGGAAGATGAAATGAACTCGCTCATGTCTTTCGCAGATTTCCTCTTTGCATTCCAAATTCAATTTTATTATTGTGGTAAGCTGTATTTTATTCACATTAATTCTTATGTCTTTTCTTATACGATTTGTATAGCGGACACATCCATTTCCGAAGAAGGGTTCAAGGCACATTTATTTCCCTGGTCATTGGATACAGAATCAACCATACACAACTTGCAAACCCCTCCGCTCCCTGTGGAGTATTCCTAGTTGAGTGCATAATTGAGTACAGTTAAACTTTTATAATTTTAAAAATAATTTTTAAGTCGATCTTACATGCCAAATTGTTGTGTTTTCCATTAATCAACAATCTGTAAGTCAAATTTTGTCTAAAGTTGAACAATATTTCAATGGCATTTTGGATTTGACTTAGGCAAGTTCAACTGTACGACCAATTTCATTCCAAATCATTCACCTCCTACCAGGTACTCATTTATTCTCTTGGTGAAGAGAGTTTGTGGACGCGAGTAGCTAATACTAGTTTACCGGGTAGCTCATGAAGAGACCCTTAGGGGAGAAAGAAGAAAGTTAGTGTGCAAGCTAGTCCACACCATAAGCTCTTTGAGACCCCAGTATAGAGCTTCATAAATCGAACTACATTACATTACAGCGCAGATAAAGTGTAACAAGTTTAGGCCATGAACCCACGACCTCACGATTAAAAGCTCAATGCTTTTCACGCTCTCCACGTTCCAAGCATGATGATAAACAGACTTGGTGGCTATAGGAGCATTTAGTTTTGCAGGATGGATAACCTTGTGAAATTTTTTCAGTTTTGCAGGATGAATAACCATGTGAAATTTGGAGTAAAAATAAAGAGCATATCAATTTTTACACAGTGGCATATCTAGAGGGTGCACAGAAGAACAACCCCCCAACCCCCAACAAGCTTCCCCATTTATACGCTTAAGTAGTTAAAAAAATCAACTTTTATCACCTTATTTCGCAACCTAGCGTCTCTCCCTTAATTATCAGGCCCACATGACCTTCGCCTATTCCCCATTTTAACCCTCTGGATACCAGATTCTTTTGTAGTGCAAACCCTTGAATACCGGATTCTTTTGCAGTGTAACAAGGTTTTTTGCGTTTTTTGAGTATACGTCGTTCTAGTGGATTTTTGGGAACTTTCTGTAAATTACAGAAAAATGTTTCTAAAAACAAAGAAAGCTTATAGAAAAAGCTTTCATTTGATGTATAATTTATATTTTTGGGAATTTTTTTTTCATAATATAATATAATATAATATATATATATATAATATAATAGAAATGACAGAAAAATGCTACATATAAATCGTCAGCAAAAACCGAAAAAAAAAAATAAATTATAGCAAAAAAAAAAAATGAAAACAAATATGAAACATTCCTATTCTACACAGTTATATAATTTATTTACCCAACCATCCATTATAAGCGAGATCTTTCCATTCAAAAGAGTCGACTACCCTCACATTTCTAGGCCTAGGCTCATCTTCATCAAGAACATCTCCGCCGTCAGAACTGCTTGAAGCCCCACCATCATCATCGCTAACAGGCACGTCTAAGTCTCGCACATCTAAAAAATCACCTTTATCGCTGTCTGAATAAAAAATCAGGTCAATCGATTGCTCAGCTGTGTACACATCTTATGCGGCCATTTCAAAAAATTTTTGAAATTAATAACGATTTCAAATTGATATTTCTAAAAATGTTTATATAAGCGCATGTGAGTTCTTCACAGATTTCGAAAGACAAAAGCTTCACGCATGCGTGTTCAAAATTTCTGATGTATTGGAGCTAAAATAAAAACAGGAGCGATTTGAAAACCACCTATTTTTTAGTCACTAAATTTCGATTGCAGTCGAAAATGGGAATTCTTGGTTTGAGGTCAATTTCGACTACAGTCGATGACGGTATCTAGAGGGTTAAGACATCGAGATAAGCCACTGATTTATTTATGTTTTCCTACTCTGATTTTTTATAGAATTTCTGATTGAATGTTCAAGTGTTTATAAACGCCTTTTGAACTCCACTATGAGCCCAAGAGAAGCAGTAGTGGTACCAAGTGGAAGTTCCTCTCCAAGGCAACAGAAGAAGTCAGTGGTTGTTGAGGCGCACTCCGATGGTATTGACTCAAAGAGCTTCTTAGACGCCCTCAAGCACACCTGTCGTTCTTTCAAGTTCAGGTATATTACTAATTTCTCTTTATTTAAATATCTGCATGTTCTTTTTGGTATAGAGTCGATAAAAGAATGTTGTTCACCAATTTTTTTCCCACATACACAATGTTTGTTACCTTAGAGTAAAGCTTGGTTTCCATGCAAATGCTACAGGCGATTGTCCACAGCTTTCGATGATGCTGATTAGTTGGTTGAATCAGGGAACCTTCCAAATTGCGTCGGGGGCTGCTATGCTGTACAGCGATTGCATTGAAAACACGGTAGTGACAGTGTGGCGATTTTAATTAAACCAGGCTTAAGTAGGAAAACTGTGCTCTATCGTGGTAATTTATTAATTCATTATATTCACTTACTTTTTTAATGTATTCTGATTATGAATTTGAATGGGAGTGTGTTTGTATTTGAGTAAATGTGTTTAAATTTATTTATATATGGTATGAATTTATCCCTCTCTTGCATTATTGTTTAATGTTAATTACTGTATTATGCATTTATCAGTTGTCTGATCGATTGGTTGATTTGGTCTTCTATTCCATCCTCACTCTTCTGCATTATGAATTATGACCGGCTCTGGCAAAACCTGCCATTTGTCGCAATTTCTAATTTCGCAAAAACACTCAAAACGTTCGATAATCAGAATTTTGAGCATTTTCAAGTTTATGCATTTTATAAAGATGATATATTGAAGAACGTTTCTACAAAATATTGATTGCTAAATCTAACTGAAAAGTATATTAAAATTATTTTTAAAATACAAATCTTAATAATAATTATTGATTTTCAAGGCTTTGGAAGCAGTTTTCTCTAAACCTACATAGTTGATATGCAATGAAATAAATATTCATAACTTTGCGAATATTCAACCAATTTCCATCAAATGAACAAACACTGTTTTTTTGTATTTACGCAGAATTTTAAAATACCAAAACCTCAATTATGAATTTTTCCTACAAACGGCTGGTTTTATGAGACCTGGTCACAATTAAGATTAATCACATGAATGTATTTTAGTATTTTTGATTGATTGATTGATAGATTAATTGTTCTTTTATAAATTCCTCACATTCTTTCTTAATTGATTAATTTATATATGATTTGTTCTTTTGTTTTTTTAGTCATCCCTCAGATGCATGCTTAGATGAAATATTAGCTGGATCAATGCGTGTATCGTTCTATGGATTTCTGATGGCCCTCGCTAAGTCACAGCAAGTCAATAATGAAATATCTATCTTGCCAGCACGTGCTAACATTACGGATGATTCCGCCTTCGACGTTGATCAAGCCAAGCGGTAGATTCAAATAAATATGCACTGTATATATGTTCAAAGAAATGTTAATTATTTTTTTCAAAAGTTTGGATGTTTAGAGGTGTACAGAAATAATATTGTTAGATATATTTGCCTATAATGTAGATTTCTTCACAATATATAAAAGTTTGTGATTTTTTGATATACAGTATTGATGTTATGTGCTCACTATGGGCAAACTGTTTTGTACAGTGGTGTAATGCATAATGGGCTCTTGAGGGTAGGGGGAAAGCCCTAGCTTCATCATTCCAAAGGAGCCAGGAGTGTATGAAAATAAAGTTGGCTATGGTTTAGTCATGCAATGTAATTTTGTTCTTTATATTGATACTGACATTGCCTTTAATGCCGTCTTTTCAGCCATAATATTCCTAATGTTCTTAAAGATACTGATGGTTCATCACTCTTTCTGGCACGTTTAGGTCATGATTTCCTAAGATTCGGAAATAATCCCTCTCGAATTCATCCTCATATAGTTCCTTTCAGGGTTGCAATAAATGATTCTGGTCGTTTCGATGTCATATTTTTCATCACATTGATCTTAATTGACTTAATTTTTCTTCTGTTTGAGTTGTCAAGTTTAATGCATGCTTAACCAGATTCAGCAAAATTCCACTCCACATAGAGTAAATTGGCATCACATCATTTATGAATATATCAATAATTATAGGAGACCTCAGATCATTAGTGTTAGCTGAAGCATCATGGGAAGATGATAGTCTTCAACTTCGTCCTTAAGGAGATCGCAAATTCCTTCTTCTGAGCAGCCATCTTCAATTTTATTTTTAATTTCAAAGTTATGGAATTGATTTTACAACCGAAGACGTGCCTCTGTAAACTCTTTACTCTTCGAAGAAGACAAGAACAAGGCAGTGTATTCCCCTCAGCCCCAGTGTCGACTTTTACTGTCAAATCTGCTTTGACGTCTTGTATACCTGGTAGCTGTATATCCAGTTTGGTGAATTTCTCAGTAGATGTGGCACTGTTAATGTGTACAACGTTGAATGACAATTGTTCCATATGTTGTTCTAACACATCAATATCATCATCAGAATCGTATATTACTGCATGTACTCCACTCCTATTTTTCAATTTTCCAGTTCCCGACTTTTCAATTTAGGCCTTTGTTTTGCTTTGTAATGCTTTTTGTTATGACTGTGATGGTCCTGATCATGTTGATTAGGATAGTTAGTTGATCTGCACATTGTTGCCCAGTCGTTCATTTTTTCCACATTTTCAACACGTTGTGCCATATGCAGGGCATTCTCGGGGAGGGTGTATACACCCACATTTCTTGCATTTATCATGCTTATTTTGGGTCATGTGGCTAATTTTTGCAGATGGGTTATTTGACTGAAGTCATCAAGTTGCTTGTGATGCAAAAGTGAAGCTTCATGTCCTCTTGCAAGCGTGATAGCCTCATCTAAGGTATATTCAATATTTTTAGTAACTCCTTTTGGAGGTCGTTCTGCATTGGCAAATGCACATTTCGCAGCATGAAATTTAATTGTCAATTGACTCATTCGTTTCTTGTTTTAATTTTTGGAGATACATCGTTGAAACACGAAAATCGGTTTGCGGTTCTATTTGTTCCTCTTCTGTTAGTCCCCACGAATCATAATGTTTTAAGCCTTCTTCACCCACCATCAATAGTAGGTGGTTTATCCTTTCGTCTGCCGCGATATATTTTAAAAAAAGAAAAAAAAAAATTTTTTTTTTTTTTTTCTTCCCAGCAGAAACGGGCCCTATATCTTTAAAGGTTATACATACTTGCCAAAAGACGACCAAATAGATGTATATGCAGAATGTTATAGTGAATTAGAAGCTAGTTTCTTGTTCGCCGTAGAGGGCGTATTTGCTCATTAAGACAAGGAAGTATATTTGAAATGATAGATGAGGTTCCTTTCTTCAATCAAGCAAATGCATGGTGATATTAATTTTCACTTTATAACATATTAAATGGAAAAATCCAAACTGCAAAATGAATTTATAACACTAAAACTAATCAATTTCTTTTGATATACCATTTTACTGCCAATTGGTTATCTTATACTGTAAATGGATTTATTTTATATGTTATGTAGTTATCAATTCTTCTGTTTCAACTTCTGAAACTTAAGCCTGTGTATCCGAAAATTTTCACATGGTGTGAGTGATTCATGGAACTTAGTCCACAATTCTGTGATATTTTTAACTCTTCATTAGACATATTCCATGTATTGAATAGCCGTTACCCTTCGTTCCCCGACCACAACAGAATGTGATTATGCTGTTGGGTGGCAAGAGTAGCATTGACCCTGAATGTTTAGCTGCCAGTACTTCTCTTATACTGTAGCCCTTGAGCAGTTTTATCTGGAGAGACTCTGTGACCGCTGATTACATCTCGTCCGGAAATTTGGGAGGACAGTCCGTGGAAATATGGATGATATCCTTCCAAAAACCTGTTTAGAAGCAACTAATAAAAAACTAAGAAACGCTAACAAACTATCGCAGTATAAGTGTCGTACAGAAAGATTTAAAAAATCAACATTACCTTTTTTAATAAATAATGACTTGGTGTGATCAAATCAATTATGATATTGTGAACTTCGACTATGTTTTTCTCAGAAAAATAATTATGTTAAAACCGCAATATTGCTCCTTTTTCTTAATTAAAATAAATTAATGTCAAAAACCCTTAATGATTTTGTGACCATTGTGTATGTGGATGTATATTTTATGTATTTTTATATGTGCTTTTTTAATGATTAATTTTATAAATATTGTAAATTGACTCAATTCAGTTTTGTACTGCAATGTAAATTTTTTTAATAAAAACATGAATGAATGAATGAACATGGTAGTATCTGGCGAGCAATTTAACCACATGTTGACATTTCGCAAGAGGATCTGATATTTACTGGTTTCATCAATAGGAGCCTTTTGAAGTCATCCCCCATTCTTTATAATGGAATGATAGTTTAACAATGCTACTGCTCTTTTGGGGGTTTTTTGGCTCTTTTCATGGTACATAAATTCTTCTTTAAATGTTTGATGCTGTAAAGTATTTGAAGGTCACATTTTCAGATTGTTTTATTTCTTCCAATGAGACTGCTTCGATTGGGACACATTCATCTTTCCAGATGATTTTGTCTTATGCTTTAGTTTAACGTTACAGCGGAGAACCCATGCTACTGTTTTTCGAAGCCATTTCCCAAGTTAAAATTTAAACATCATTGAAATAACCCCTTCATTGATAGTAGTATTGATTGGTGCCAAAACATCGGCTTTAAATTCTGGTTTGTTAGCGATCTTTAACTGTGGTCATGCATGTTCTTGCTTCTTTACAAACTCTGGACATTCTAACCATAATATATTGCCAATAAATGTGTTGACTGGAGCCCCTCTAGATGCTAAGTCAGCTGGGTTTTGTTTTGCATCAATGTGCCTCCATTGGTCTTTAGTAATGCAATTTGATACCCTGAAACAAATATCTAGCATGATGTACTTCAGTCCAGAATACAGATCGAAGGATTTGTATTTCATCTTTGATATAATTATTATTCTTTGCACGACCTTGTCAACATTTAAAGTGATTAAGGTTGCCACAGGTAACACACCTCTTTCTCCAACTAAAAAAAAATAATAAATAAATAATATTTGCAATACAATAACAATATTTGAGAAGTCAACCTTCAAAGTTTATGATTTTTCGGCATTTCTCAGGCAGAAACCATCACCATATTGTTAAAAATTGTTGTTTTAATATTGAAAATGTGGAAAATAACAGCATAGCATGATGTATAGATATGATAAAATAGATTTAAACCAATTTTACTTTCCATAATGTTTTGGGCATTATGTCTGAAACATTGATTTGAATTTGAATAAGATTCCGGATTTCCGAGATTTGGTCTCCACTCCCGTTTTAATTCATTATTAGATGAATAAATAGCAGGTGACTTAATCAAGTTGCCACACGTCCTTGCCACCGGGAAGCGAGCACTTGGGAGAAATGCCACCTTAATTTTTTCCAGTGGCATGACTGATGATCCTGTTGTAAATCTTAAAAAGTTGGCAACATCTTCTGCTTCGGGAAGATAGTCTCTTCCCGAGGTCTCAAGTCCTCCGACTCGCTTACAAGACATTCAGGACATACAATTTTAATGTTATTAATTATTTGTATTAATGTGATTCTGTTTTTGTGGTAGGTTTTGCAACTAGGACATTTTTATACTGGGACATTTTAAAGTCTGCTTTTAACAATTGCTTTGACTTGAGTGCACATTTGGATTTGGGCCAAATGTTATTTTTCTATAAGGAAATAGAAGATCCATGTTAATGAACAGGAACTGCTCCAAAATTCTTTAATTGTAGTGATTAAAAATTGGAAGATCTGACTAAAATTTATATAATGTTCAAATAGTTTCAGTGTACTGTTGCAAATTGCATCCATTATTTATCTTAACTGTTTACTTTCGGTTATTAAACTTATTCCAAACAAGATTATTATTATTATTATTATAGCTATTGTTGATGTTATTAATTAATAAAGAACACTTTTATTGAAACTAAAACTCTGACTCACTTTCAGTTGAGATGTATTTATTTCACTTTTATTTACCTGTAACTTGACAGCAATCTGCAATCAGTGGTGGGCGAGCAGGGAGGACATTTGCCCCACCCTCTCCCTGTCAGACAGGCCTGGACCTCCATGTCGTCCGATACCAGGACAAAGTTGTCATATCAAAAATTTAAAAAATATAATTTGCCTATCTAAATAACATTATTTCGATTGCCAATCCCTAATAGCTGTCTCTTATACACATCTAGATGTGTATAAGAGACAGTCTTAAATATTTAAATATTTACAGGTTAATAAAACCTTAAAAAGCTGCCAAAATTGAATTAATAATTACTGTACTTTTAATACATTATACTGTCATACCATGTAATCAAATTAATTGCATAATTTGTATACTGTATTCCAATAAGTTATGGTACAGGGCTCACTTTAATAAAGACCTTTGAATTAAAAAAGAACACTTTTCACTTTGCATCCCAGATGAACACCTATATTTTATTTATTTACTTATTTATTTCTGCTAATTACAGTACAAACAAAATTACAAAATAGAAAACAAAGCAAGGAACCAAACAGGTGCTGGACAACCCAGAACAATTACTATCTACAACAGCAGCATCTACAGGAAAGTGATTAACTACAAACGTTTTTCGACATCAAGGTTATTAAAAAAATAATTATTGAAATAACTTAATACAGTGTAGTTTAGTTTTAAAGAACTTGCTGATAAATTTACGAATTTCACTGGGTAAATTCTGGTAGCACATGTAATAAAAGAATGAAATGAGAATCCTGTTCTGCAGCGATGAGTACCAACAGAAGAACTACGGATATACTATGGATGATAAATAAATGTGTTGTCAGAATTAATTACATGGTAGAGTTGAATAACGTGAAAAGTAATAATAAAATATCAGCAAATTGTTGCCTATAATAATGGGAGTAAATTACAGTACTTATTTGGAGTCAGCATTTGCAATCAATATCAATATTATTTATAATAAATTTAGTTGCTCTCCGCTGGACTTCCTCAAGTTGTTATACATGTATATGTTTTTTTAGCTTATGAGACCAGAGAGTAGAGCAGTAATCAAGATAACTATCAACACTGAATATTTTCATTCAAATAAAATACTGTACAATAAAGAGATCGTTTTACATAGACATTGCAATGAAAACTTTTAATACACACTTTGCAATATCTTTTTAAAAGAGCAAATCTGCTACAGGGTTAATCCTATTTGCCAAAAGTGGTCTTTCATTTGAGAAAAGACCTGAAATTGCAAACTGGATCTGAAGGAATCTTTTGTTATTAATATACCTTACCAAACCCTACTCTTTCATGGAAAAAAATTTTCATAATAATACTGTCACGAATGCCAATGAACAGTGATATCATCACACTGAAGTTATATAACAAATAATCATTGCGTCTTCTACTTCTTGGATTGCAGGTTGCCAGGTGCTCGATTGAAGCTGCAAATGAAATAGAAATAATAGCACATGTATTATATTAATAAAATTTATACATCTTTTTCTCATAACAACATTCCACGTCAGATCCAAACAAACTACAGTGGTGCAGCATGTAAAGCGTTGGACTTTCAATCCGATAGTTGGAGGTTCGAGACCGATGTTCGGCACACTAAAAATAAATTTTGTGGAGGCTTCAGTGTGGCGATTATTCGGAGAGCGCCACTTATACAAACAATATTGGCGTGCCGCTTTCCATGCCCGCGTTGCCATGTTACCTATCTCACGTATTCCCGTAGTTTAATAGGCCTATCATACTATAGGTCCTAGTCATCGTAAATAAACGTTTATAAAGAAATGATTGTGTCTTAGTTGTGTTAAATTAACACTGTATACCTTGAATTTAAAACCCTGTTTCTGAAAGTGTTTTAATACACACAGGGCAAAAATACACTCTCGATTAAGAGCGCTGTGGCGCTTAGCGAAAGAAATCAGGTTTGGTGCGGCGTTTAATCTAGAGCGGCTGTTATTCGAGAGCAGCGCTTTTTCGAGCATTTACGGTAACAGTTCTGAGTGCACGCGTAACTAAAAAGATACTCCCCAAGGAGTGGAGGAAGTTGCACGTTGTGTGTGTATGATTGAATGATTCTGTATTCAATGACTAGGAAAAAAGCGCCTTGGGCAGTTTTCTGGATATGTGTGCTTTATAAATTCTTTTAAATAATAAAATAATGAAGGGGACAAAACAACGGAAAGTACTGTATATCTTACGGCCAACCTCTATTAACAAAACACTTTCTTTGTCCTGAAAGTGTCCCCTTAATAGGGGTTCTACTGTATTGCAAGTTAGTTGTTTTCCACATGCAGACATTCCATGCTAACAAGCTGTTTCCCTGGACAATTTGTGTAATTGCCAAGTTTTTCCGCTTCTTCCGATGGATGTTTTAAATTCAATTTGGATTGTTGGTGAAGTGGAAATTTAATAACTCTGGATTGAAATGTGTTCAGCAGATACCTACCAAAATATATGTCCATGCCTTGGTATGTATGATTAACGTTCGTTGTTGATTTCAGGTTAGGAAGTCTGTTGAAAGTCTTGTAAGATACAGTATCTGATAAACATTGTAAAATGTCTCAAGCTAAAATGAAACGACTTATTTCTCTAAAAATATGAATGATACTGTATGCAACTCGTTTCATCTCTGTCACTAGTATATCTTCATTAGATACGAGAATACGGTCTGATGTCGTAGAAACTCGTGTTTAATGATGGATCCCGGAATACGAAAGAGTAGGCCCAGGAATAGAGCATTCACACTACCTCAGCCAGCTTGTTTTAGATTGGTCTTATGACCAATTTTTTAAGAAAAAATATTTTACTCTGACAAGAGACTTAAACCCCTTCACTTAATAAAAATTATCACAAGTTCCTGTTCATTTTCTGGAAATCAATGTTTACAATCATGATGCAGAATATTATTATTATTATTTCTATAGTTATTCATTCCTTTGTATACATTGCCGTTAATGTTGTTAGAAATCAAGAAGTCAAAGAACATGCCACAAACTTTTAATATAAGCAACTTTTATTCACATTCTCTCACTTAGGTGACTTAAAATTCATGAACAACCACCATAGTTTTCCCAGCATATATTATTACGATGGGTAAACTACAGTGGTATATACCAGCTGCATAGGTATTTATAAGTATTACGTCTTCTATCTAGTAAAATATAAAACACCGCCATATTTTTGTGGCAATTACCGGCATTACAGGGGTCTGTCATACTCGTCTGATGAGTTGAGAGCATTCTCTGTATGCCAACAGACATGGAAAAAACGAATTGACAACCAGTTTTGTTTGATAAGATGTCTGCTGACAACACTATCACACACAATGTTTTTTTTTTATGTGTTGTGCTTAATAATCACTGAAAACCCACACACCAAATACTATAATAAATAAAAATTTTAAAGCAGCACCTTGAATACATCTGCATCATATCATGTATTGCCTTTATGTATTTTATAATTTCTAAACTATGCAAACAAAATTTTATATATAGGCTTTTCTCTTGATGTTAATATCAAAAAAGCCTTTATAATTTTCAAAAAAATTAACCAACTAGAAATAATAATAATTAAAGACAAATAATTATATACACATTAATCATCATTAAAGAGGCTTTGGAAACACCCGTGCACATCATGTCGTCGGTGAGTACAGTTTATCCAAGGCAATTCAACGAAAGGACACTCATTTCGCGATGTCAAAGGTTATGGCATCGACATTCTATGCCCCACATGCCCCTACATGCTTGACTAAGCTAAACATGCCTAAAAATATAGCAATCAACCATAATTAACCGTTGTCAGCTTGTGACGAATTACCCACGCACATAATAACCGTTGTCAGCTTGTGACAAATTACCAACGCGCATGATAATCATCACGTCGTGTGGTGATTACAGAGGCCTAATGATTTGTTTGCACTAACAGCAGACTGAAATTATATTTGTTTCAACAATAATTCGTCATTGTGCTGAATTGCTTATGGGCGTGGTCCGTGACTACCTAGCTGCCGTAAAGAGGCACTTCTTGGTAGATACATGTTCACATCATTCCACAACGACAGGGGCTGAAATGAACCATAACATCGGGGTAACCCCCTACTCTTCTGAAAGATGCAATGGGTTGTTTAAAGTGCACACGAGCCAGATGTATACACTGGATCTCCATTTAAGTCCTTATCCGAGAAGACTTGGTTCTACCAACCGAACCATGGGCGAGGAGCAGCTGGAACCAGCTCCAATGTTAAAGGCTGTAGCTAGCGGTGCCCCTGCCTTACCGCTTGGCCACTCGACTCGCTAAAATTGTCGATGCCACAATTATGATCAAATGACTGTACCTACGCACATGCTATGTTCATGTTGTTGAATTGCCTTGGTTTATCCTATCTATTTTTACTTAACAAGAATAACGAACAACTGCAATTACTGCAATCAAATCTGATAAGGATGTCCAAACATATTATTAACATATAATGATTATCAAGTAATATAACTCATACATTCATTATGCACAAAATACATACACATATTCTTGTCATTATTAACATGAGGGCCTCATGAAACAACACCCAAAAAGAACTATAAACAAAACACGTTGGCTGGTATTCGTAAGTTTTTGAGGTATTTTAAGTGGTCCAAGTTCTCAATAACTTTGGTTTCAATCCATATATTTTTAATTCAATTCTGGTCATTAGTTGTAATTGAATCCTTGCATATAATGGTAATGGTAATGGTTGGATACTTATACAGCGCATAATACATGGTCTCTATGCGCTCGGGGCTAGATGTTGCACTTTACAATATCTTTCTCCTCCCCATGTCTTCAGCAGCCAGTAAACCGGCGCCATTTCATCTGTCCACGACAGGGGCCGAATGAACCAGTACACCGGGGTAACCCCCCTACTCATCTCGAAAGATGTACTGGGTTCTTTAAAGTGCACATGAGCATTTGTGTACACTGGGCCTAAGGTTTATAGTCCTTATCCGAGAAGACTTGTTCCACCACCAGAACTATAGGAGCAAGCTGGCCGCGAACCTGTGCCGAGATTGTTGGCTGTGATCACGGTGCCCCTGCTTTAACCGCTCGACCATTTGGCTCATATACAGTACTACACTATGCAGTAAAAGTGCCCAGCCACAACGTTCACTTTCTTTCGTGCTTAGGCTACTCGATGCAGATTGATGTTACAGTAGCCCTATTTATTGCTTTATAGTACAGTAGTACTGTAATTCCAAACATTTAAAGCATTCATTTTGAAAAGAAGATCCCCCCCCCCTTCTTTACTTTACAAAATTAGCCTTAAAATGAAGCCCATCTTCAAAAGAGACCCATCCAAAGTTTGCAAAAAATAGAGTACAAAACCAGCAATTCAAGGTTTTATAGTATATGATCCAATTAAGAAGTAGCTAAGCAAAAATCTTAAGCTGATTTATCAAACCGTCTTAGCAAAATCTTAGCAAAAATATCATCTTAGATGGCGCATGCGTACAATCGACTTCTTGTAGCTTATAGAGGGCAGCAAATGTTGTCTTAAGTCGAAAAATATTTGCTTACGCATGCGTAAAAGCCATTTTTGTGATTTCAACCGGAAGTGAACTGTCAAAGGTTACGAGAGATACAGTAAACAAACCATGTGAGAAACTTATGTGCTCGCCATGCTGGATGTTCGCTAGTGAAGATTTTATCGTTATTCTTTCTTATCTTAATGTTTTATATGGATGGTAAGACGTCTGCCATCACTGTCAGTTTAATTTGGATGAACTACATACAGCTGTGAAAAGTTTGTGGCATTAAAGGACTTTTACGATTGAGAGGGCTGGCAGAGAGAAGAGGCGGCCAACAACAAGCAAGGCTAGAGAAAGGCCTGGCCTAGTCTAGTACAGTGGTCTAGCTAGGCTAGAGCCTTAGCGAGAAAGCTTAGTTTGGCCTACTAGCTAGGCTAGAGGGCCTAGGCTACACCGCTAATATAGACCATAAAATCAGACGAGGTAGCCGAAACATCTAGGCCTACGACAACTACTAATTTTTAAAATGACAATTGTTTTTGACTTGAGAGAGATTTTCAGGTAAGTTAGCCTGGGTTCCAGGCCCTAATTTTGGGTTACTCACTCTTTATTGCACTTAGTGCGCGCCATACCTAATTTAATTGGCGTCCCATACTCCATGTCTATAAATTAACTTTCTCGTTGGTGGCGCTGTCCAGAATGAGAAAAATAATAAAAAATAAGAGACTTGTGGCAAGTCTACAGGTAAGTGAATATGATTGCTATTTTTTTTTTCAATTTAGGAAGGATGTAGCACTGCATGCAGAGGGAGGTATAAAAATTTACATGGGAACCAGTCATCTCGCCCCCCTATAACAAAATGTATTGCTAGTAGAAAATTATTAGGGCACATAGAAAAAAATTGTTAGATTTATCACTCCTGCCTGAGTAAACAATTTGGGTGGTTTGACTGGAAATACATTTTTTTTTAAAAACAATAAAATTAAACCAGTTTTTATACAATATTCTTCCCAAATAAATCATCAATTAAAAAAAATACAACATTCTGGTTTAATTAATGTGACCGTAAAATATTTACATGTCCGTTAATCATTTTGTAATCGCAATTAGTCAAGTACAGCAAATGTTCGATCGATCTGATTTTTAAAAAGTTTTCTGCATCCTGCTCAGTAAAGATAGTATAATACATACTCCTAATATCGAAATGCACGCCACCGTGTCGGGATTCAATAATTCAACATTAATTATGTCATTAATATATCAGATAAAATATTACTGTAATTAATAACAGTATATTTAAACTTGATTATGATAATAAATATAATATAATTAATATTAAATGCTTATTCAATTTTCAACCAATTTTATAGCTTCTGGCATTGCTACTCAATATAGTAACTAATTAAAGGCACAATTTCTCCTTTAAATGTTGCTTCTATGAATAGAATGACCTGATTGAAACACAATATTCTGTACACAAAACCTGTTATCTTTTAGGTAAGGCATTTTTCGTTTTGACTACGCGGCCAGTCTACTACGAACTAATGGACCGTGACGGCAACGCCAAGACACCTGTCTCTTATACACATCTAGATGTGTATAAGAGACAGGCATTTATCCATCCCATTTTGCATTCAATAACATTTTATTTTTATTTTCTACTCCAGCTAAGTTTTTAGCAAAACTATTTGCTAAATAAGAAAACAAAATTTTATTTTTATTCTGCCCTCTCCGATGATCTACTGTACTGCATAAAAAAATCATTGCGCGAAACAAAAAATAAAAAGTCTCGCCTTACCGGAATCTGTATACAGACTTGCCCCATAGGTTTCAGCATTTGTTTTTTAGTGGAATAGATGGAATTAAATTATTAATATTATTGACCACTGATGCTCACTATGGAATCAAAATGTATGACATTTCAGTGAATACATTATAGAAGCTTTCAGACCTACTGCAGAATTCAAAACCAACACCTCAGACCCAGGGGTTAGTGACGTCCTCTTCCGCCAGCTTCAAGGATTCAACCATATTTAAGTATTCGAAGGAGCTCACTATCGAATAATTATTTGTTTATACCTTGCGATTTCAAAGCGCTGACAATATCCGAAAAAAATGCTTATGATACCAATGATATTTGCATGGTGTAAAGTAATAATATACATTTTATATATTAGGTAAATCACAAGATTAATTTCTCACATTAAATATATATTGCTCTTTGCTGTGTAAAAGCACATATACAGTAGATCTATATTTATTGTTGTGCCAAGTGTCTCATGAACTCTTCTCATATTCATTCCAAAAGCAATAAGCTACCAAGTATCAGTAGATATAAAATTGTGAAGAAAAGTGTAATAAACACTAATGATTGTAATAATGAATGGTGTTTGGAGTCCTTTATTTGTTATGTATTGTATTTTTTCATATTTTAAAACAACTGTGGTTCATATGGTGGGTAGCATAAATTTAATTATTTTTGTTTTTACTGTTATAGTATGTTGTACATTATACAGTAACTGTGTTAAATTTTTCAAGTGTGGGCAGTGTAGCTGTTATTAGCCAAAAAGCCAAATCATAATAAAAGCTGAATTTTGCTAAATATATTTTTTATAAACCATAAAGCTGATGGAATTTTTGCTACTTATATTAATTGTTTTGGCAAGTCAAATTTCTGTTTTGCTAATTAATATCATACCAAATTAGCTAAATTGTGAGACAAAATCTCCACTGAATAATATGAACGAATGGTGCTGTGTGTAGGCCAAAACTATCATAACTATTATTATTATTAATAGTTTTATTATTACTATACTAATAATATTATTATTATCACTATTAGTAAATTGTCTTATGCTTTTTTCACTTTGTTGTATCCAGCCATGAAATGTTCCCATAGTGGGATGAATAAAGTATCTTTGTATTGTATCCTTGTAAAACTATGTTTTTAAATAAAAATTATAATTTAAGTAATTGAAAAAAAAAATGAAGACAGACTTTGGTGGCTTTGTTTAAGGCCAAAGGAAAAAATATGTTTGTTTGCTCTTCTCAACCCACCCCTAACTCACTGGAAAAAATAGGGGTGGAAAAACAAAACAAACCTTTTTTTAGCTTTTTCTTTACAATTAAAAAAAATGTGAGTGAATTTATTTTTTGCCAGATGTCCTACAATCTCAGAATTGCTAATTGGACATTGCACTTTCTTAAATGTGTTTTGCTGCTTGTGTGCAACATGTTGCTCAAGTTTATTATAGTTATTTCATATATAGTTGAGGAAGTTTTATTTATTTGGTTTAAGTTTGCTAATACCTATCTAGAGCCGATTTGAAAGTTGATTTTTATATTTGCATGGATGACCTCTGTGGGTTATTTTTAATCCATCTGATGAGTATCTTAAAAATGATAAATAAATTTTAAAAAAAAAATTTCCACCTACCCCTATAGGCTATATCATAATTATTTTCAAAAATGGACGGGCAAAAAAAACAATTGATTTTTTTTCTTTTTTTTTTGGCCTAATTGATCCACACTCTATGCTTTTATAATATATATATGTTTTTGTTTAGTGCACTGCATGCCATGCTGTACATAAATAAATGGGATAGGCCTAGGCTAAGTACCCTCTATACCTCTGGGGCCCTACTACTGTACTACTGGCCAGGCTGCAGCTGAGCTGGTTACACAACAAATACTCTACTAGGCCTAGGTAGGGCCTACTAGTTAGTTAGGCCTACTATTTAGTTAGGCCTAGCGAGTTACAATAAACATACCTATCAACAAACCTCTTTTAGCAATACCGTAAAGCCTCTGACAGAAATCCTAAATAGTTCCTTATTTGACGTTTAGGGTGGGTTACAATTAGGCCGGCCTAGGCCCTAGAGTACGTGCGAGGACACCGCCGGTATGACGGGCCTCGTATCAGCCTGTGAATTTTCTGTTTATCACTCGGTGACGCTACGAAAAGTTTGACGACGTTTTGTGTTTTTCTGAATGAATAGAACGCAATACTCGGCAAATAATTATTATAGCAACTTTTGGTAAACTTTGTAGTTGCCTAAAAATAATATTTTGACAGTTTAATGGTTCCATATATCCCGAAAAATGCGTTTTTGTTTCGTGTAACTCCTAGGCTGACTTTATGTACTATTACACTGTCAGCGTCCATCGCGCAAAAGGGGCAGACTGCGCCGGCGTCCGCGTAATAAAGATTAAATATTTGGCCTAAGTGCGCTCGCACTTGCAAAATCTGAGGCGGCAGCCTTTGAATGAGATAAGACGAAAATTTTCGTCTTAAGGCAGGTATGTTTTCATCTTAATTTTAAGCAAATTTTAAGCAATTTCTAAGCTAAGCAATATTGATAAATCTGACTTAAGCAAAAAAATGGATTTAAGACGAATTTAAGCAAATTTTCTTGCTTAGCAAGTTTGATAAATCCGCCCCCAGGGCTTCAATTCAAGGTTTTACGGTATAGCATTTTCTTTGTGAATCTTCCAATCCCAATGTTGGAATTTTGGATTCAGCTTGGAATCCATGATTCCAACGTTGGGATGTGCAGTTAGTCAGAGTATGTGGAAGCCAAAGAGGATCCAGCAGGATCGAAAGGACTCGTCGAAAAAATTAAATATATTGTGAGCATATTTACATTACACGTATATATATTTTTGAATATATGTATTTCATTCATAATCAATTACCAATATGTTTGATTATAATTAGATGCATACCGAAACATAGTCATCTTCTTGACATCACCTTACATTCACAAAGTTCAAATTAATTAGACTTACCCCAGTATTCTTAAAACGAACTTTAGTCCGAGCTAAAACTTGCGTCATTTCGTATTCTTAAAAGGAACTTCGACTAACACTACGACTAAATGAACCTCGATTAAAATGATACCTCCGCAGGCCGATTTTTTTAGTCAGCCTAGGGTCAGGCTAAATCGCTGACTTGAAATATCCACCCCACTAAAAACGTGTTTTTTGTAACTCACGATAAAGTGAAACGAATAAATATGATTGTATACGCAGGTTTGATATATCTTCGGTGTCTTAAACAAAAGAGACATCAAGTTTAGCTTCCAGGAGGAGAAATTAACATGTTTTGCTAGCCACATGCGATATTTCCTGATTTGCACAAATTCCTCTCGCGTTGCGATCACGTAGCTTCACAATAACAACAATAAAGATGGCGCCGCCCTCGCTCTGGCTTCACTATAATAGTTCTCCAAAGAAAGCAAATTGTCAGTGTCTGTTCAAATTCTCTATTGTAATATATTAACAACTAATATAGTTATTATTATAGAAAATTAATTAAGGGAATGATGGTTTATTATGAATTATGAGGAAATACCTTTTTGAACCACAGACGGCAGCTTAATATTCATCCGCATTACCGTCTCTAAAATTTCGTCTGCTATTAAAGTTAGCCCTTTTCATTGGTTAGTTTGATAGTCGTGGCTTGCCAGTCGTCTTCAGTTGAACTAAACCTAGGACTTGATTTAGTCGTAGTTACAACTTCGACTGCATTGTTTGTGAATACAAATTGAAGTTAAAGATGCAACTAGCACTAAATGAAGTTCTAGTTCGAAGTTTGACTAAAGTTTGTTTTAAGAATACGGACGTAAAACTCAAGAACCTCAAATGATCAACAACAACTACTTAACAGAAATGTCCAAGGTGGAAAATCCAGAACCTGTCCTGGTAAGACTAATAATATAACTAATTACATTTATTTATTCTACTACAAACATACAAAATTAGTATTTTTGAATGAACATAGAAATTATGAAATCTAAAATCAACATTTTATCAAATCTAAAATGACTTTCCTATCTTACAGAAAGATTACTGTACCTCTTGAATCCATAGAGTTCACATTTAAATCTTTCATTAATCGAAAATTCAAAATCGTGCAATGCCAGGCGATTTATATGCTTGCATGCAACACAAGTCATGCTAACTGCCTTTTCATACCTTGTTCTCCAAGATTTTATTAGCACTATCTGCAATACCATTGGCCTTTGGACTAGCAGCTACCGCAGACGCTTTCCGTTGGCCTTGACTTGAATCTTCTGATTTACGCTTGCAACATCGTTGACTATCGCATGCATCTGTCTTGCACACAAGAACACAGCTAGCCTCTATCAGAGCACTATCAGTGCTATCCCGCTATTAAAATAAGATAACATTTATAGTCAATTAAAAATTGAAAATTCTTGAACAAGCATGTGTAGTTGCTATGCTCTGAGGTGGGAGTTTCCACTATTTATCAGAGATGTTTTGTCTTATATCAAACATATTTTTGAAGTGTTTTGTCTTTTTTTCAATCATATTTATGAAGTCTTTTAAAAGAAAAAAACTTAGGTATGGAAGGTTCGATTATGTATTAAAGGTGTTCTGCCTTATATTAAAATCAATTTTACCAGAACCAATGACAATCATTTTTTATGAATAGTCTTTTAAAAGGCAAAACTTGGCATTAGAAGGTTCCATTATTTATTAGGGGTGTTCTTTCTTATATTAAAATCACGTTTATCAGAACCATTAACAATCATTTATGAAGTCTTTTAAAAGACAGGAATTAGGGGTGGAGGGGTCCATTGCATATTGGGGTTGTTCTCTCTTACATTAAAATCAAGTTTATCAGAACAAATACAGTACTAGCAATCTTTTTGTTAGAAACTTTTAAAAAGACAAAACTCACAACAAACTCTGGCTGAATTGTAGTAGAATGAATTCCTCGTTTGTGGAAGAACTCCTTAAGACTCTCTGATATTGCCATGTAATCGTCAACATCATCGGTGACAATTATGTGCGCTGTCGCTATCGTCAAATTTGACGTCAACTGCCACACATGAAAATCGTGCAGACTGATATTGGGAAACTAAATATGATTAAAATAAAAATAAATTTAAAATTATTAATAACAATTGGTTGGGTATGATAATGTGTATGTTGCTTATACCCTCATACATACTGTAACCCTGTATTAGGGCTACAATACTATATTTACTGACCACATATTTTAGTAGAAACTTACCTGCTCCTTTAACAAGCTTGTAATATTTTCAACATCCACGTGAGATGGAATGGACTGCATTAGAATCATAGCTGATTGCTTCACTGAAAAAAAATTTTGAAAAAAAAAAATTGTTTAATGCCTGTTCACACGTGCATCTGATGTTTATTTACCATCTGGATATTATATAGGCGGTGCCCACAAAGACCCCCAGTTTACAAGTGATTTTTACTGTCATATTGTAGCCATGATTTACCATACAGTGGCGGATCCAGGAATTTGAAATAGCGGAGGGTGGGTTTAGACCCCTGGTACATAATTAATTTGTTTGAAGGGCCAAATTATTTTAAGAGTTGATCTGACGGGCCAAAGATAATCTCAGCCGAGGTGAAAGCAATTGTTACACATCTGCGTAAAACTCTTTCCGCTATTAGATACAGGTTTATTTTACAGTTCAAAATTATAGGGGCTTACTTTTAAATTGCACTAGGCCTACACTAGCAGCAGTCATGACCCACAATGTGGTCGCACGGAATTTCTGTGTGGACGATGTGTCATAGTTTAACAGTCAAAAAAAATTCTCGCAACCCTATACATAAAAAATGTTATTAACGAATTACAGTGAACAAAACATAATACAGAGGCAGAACTTGGCGGCATATAGTTCTGTATGACTTGAATCATTTGCACGACCATCGAAATGTAGTTTTATAAGCACTGTTTACTAGCTGTATATAATCATGTAAAATAAGTATGCTTTAATACGAATAAGGTCCACTGATTAAAGCCCCATTCCCGGCAAAATTTCAGTTTTTAAGAAAAATCTAATTTTTGTATAATGTTATAAAGATTTATAAATATAATACGGAATTGCTAGTTTAACTGAATTTAGACATTCCTAACAATGAAAAAATGTAAAATAAGATTTTTTTTTTGTGTTCCACGCAAAAAATAAATGCGGATGAATTTTTCATGTTGATTTTGCGATAGGTCGTGAGAAGAAATATCGTAGGCGCCGAAAACATTAGCCTATCCAACGCTGCTAGGCTAGGCCTAGCCTTACCTCGATTTCGGTTCTGTTATCACACATAAAAACGGCCGACATATTTTCCGTTGCTAGTATTGACACTTGTGAATATAATATTTCATAGGAATTATTTCAAATTTGTTAAAAAACTGATTCTGACTGAGATTTTGACACTTAAACATATCTCAGCCTAACCGAACGACCGCATTGTTCCAGTGGATGCGATCTACAACCTCTGAATTTGCCTATTAACGATGAATTCATCGAGAAAATGGTAATATTTTATGAGAAATAGTCTGTATTTCTCTTTTTTTTGTATTCTTCTGCGTAAAACTAAAATTCATGCCAATATTTTTCCATGATTTATAATAATTGGAGTAATGCAAATGCATATTTTCTAAAAAAAGTCAGTTTTTAGTGAAATTTTGCCAGGAATGGGGGTTAAATCTTAGATAAGAAAGTATAATACATACCCCAAGTATTGAAATGCACACCATTTGAATCCCAACACGATGGCAGGCATTTCAATACTTATTATGTATTATACTTTTTGTATTGCAATTTAATCGTGTTCACCTCTATGATTTAACAATGGGCTTCTTCTATCATGGGTCATCAATTAGTTATTCAGGCATAGGAATGCAATAATTGAAATGTCTATGATAAAGTTCTTATTTCCTCTAGGCTGCTTTGTTAAATTTAGCAGAGCTAATAAAAATACCAATCTTGGAAATTTGTATCATAGTTCTGTTTACAGGGTTTAATTTTAGATCTGGGTGGTGTAACCACTACATCATAACATTTTTTTGCTTGTTTGGAGCACACAGTGAAGAGTAGGATCACAGGAAGTACCCAGTTGCTATTTATTCTATCTATGGCCTACTGTATATTTTATTTTTTATTTTATTTCAACTTTATTTCACGAGGGTAGCTCTAACAGTTGCACTACAGAGTACAGCTGACTTGAAGAGGCCCTCGAAAGAAAAACAATACATAAAATATATACAATACATTAAGAATCCAAGTAAGTAAAAGCTTTATTACGGTAAAGTTCAAAAACAATATAATAAATAAAATATTGGATAAACATTGTAACATTCATTAAAAATACAATAAACTTTAAAATTCATTATAAAATTACAAGGTGATGGATAAAATCAGAATTTTATTGCTTTTCTCTGAGATATAATTTTAACTTGGTTTTAAAATTAGAATAAGATATATTGCATTTAAAAGGAAGAGTGTTAAGGAAGGAGGTGGCTCTGTAATAAAATGACATTTTAAAATACTGTAATTTAGGTTTAGGGACAAAAAAGATCTAGATGTGTATAAGAGACAGATTCATATGCTTGCATGCAACACAAGTCATGCTAACTGCCTTTTCATACCTTGTTCTCCAAGACTTTATTAGCACTATCTGCAATACCATTGGCCTTTGGACTAGCAGCTACCGCAGACGCTTTCCGTTGGCCTTGACTTGAATCTTCTGATTTACGCTTGCAACATCGTTGACTATCGCATGCATCTGTCTTGCACACAAGAACACAGCTAGCCTCTTTCAGAGCACTATCAGTGCTATCCCGCTATTAAAATAAGATAACATTTATAGTCAATTAAAAATTGAAAATTCTTGAACAAGCATGTGTAGTTGCTATGTTCTGAGGTGGGAGTTTCCACTATTTATCAGAGATGTTTTGTCTTATATCAAACATATTTTTGAAGTGTTTTGTCTTTTTTTCAATCATATTTATGAAGTCTTTTAAAAGAAAAAAACTTAGGTATGGAAGGTTCGATTATGTATTAAAGGTGTTCTGCCTTATATTAAAATCAATTTTACCAGAACCAATGACAATCATTTTTTATGAATAGTCTTTTAAAAGGCAAAACATGGCAGTAGAAGGTTCCATTATTTATTAGGGGTGTTCTTTCTTATATTAAAATCATGTTTATCAGAACCATTAACAATCATTTATGAAGTCTTTTAAAAGACAGAAATTAGGGGTGGAGGGGTCCATTGCATATTGGGGTTGTTCTCTTTTACATTATAATCAAGTTTATCAGAACAAATACAGTACTAGCAATCTTTTTGTTAGAAACTTTTAAAAAGACAAAACTCACCACAAACTCTGGCTGAATTGTAGTAGAATGAATTCCTCGTTTGTGGAAGAACTCCTTAAGACTCTCTGATGTTGCCATGTAATCGTCAACATCACCGGTGACAATTATGTGCGCTGTCGCTATCGTCAAATTTGACGTCAACTGCCACACATGAAAATCATGCAGACTGATATTGGGAAACTAAATATGATTAAAATAACAATAAATTTAAAATTATTAATAACAATTGGTTGGGTATGATAATGTGTATGTCTGTCTCTTATACACATCTAGATGTGTATAAGAGACAGATTCATATGCTTGCATGCAACACAAGTCATGCTAACTGCCTTTTCATACCTTGTTCTCCAAGACTTTATTAGCACTATCTGCAATACCATTGGCCTTTGGACTAGCAGCTACCGCAGACGCTTTCCGTTGGCCTTGACTTGAATCTTCTGATTTACGCTTGCAACATCGTTGACTATCGCATGCATCTGTCTTGCACACAAGAACACAGCTAGCCTCTTTCAGAGCACTATCAGTGCTATCCCGCTATTAAAATAAGATAACATTTATAGTCAATTAAAAATTGAAAATTCTTGAACAAGCATGTGTAGTTGCTATGTTCTGAGGTGGGAGTTTCCACTATTTATCAGAGATGTTTTGTCTTATATCAAACATATTTTTGAAGTGTTTTGTCTTTTTTTCAATCATATTTATGAAGTCTTTTAAAAGAAAAAAACTTAGGTATGGAAGGTTACATTATGTATTAAAGGTGTTCTGCCTTATATTAAAGTTTTACCAGAACCAATGACAATCATTTTTTATGAATAGTCTTTTAAAAGGCAAAACATGGCAGTAGAAGGTTCCATTATTTATTAGGGGTGTTCTTTCTTATATTAAAATCATGTTTATCAGAACCATTAACAATCATTTATGAAGTCTTTTAAAAGACAGAAATTAGGGGTGGAGGGGTCCATTGCATATTGGGGTTGTTCTCTTTTACATTATAATCAAGTTTATCAGAACAAATACAGTACTAGCAATCTTTTTGTTAGAAACTTTTAAAAAGACAAAACTCACCACAAACTCTGGCTGAATTGTAGTAGAATGAATTCCTCGTTTGTGGAAGAACTCCTTAAGACTCTCTGATGTTGCCATGTAATCGTCAACATCACCGGTGACAATTATGTGCGCTGTCGCTATCGTCAAATTTGACGTCAACTGCCACACATGAAAATCATGCAGACTGATATTGGGAAACTAAATATGATTAAAATAACAATAAATTTAAAATTATTAATAACAATTGGTTGGGTATGATAATGTGTATGTCTGTCTCTTATACACATCTAGATGTGTATAAGAGACAGATTCATATGCTTGCATGCAACACAAGTCATGCTAACTGCCTTTTCATACCTTGTTCTCCAAGACTTTATTAGCACTATCTGCAATACCATTGGCCTTTGGACTAGCAGCTACCGCAGACGCTTTCCGTTGGCCTTGACTTGAATCTTCTGATTTACGCTTGCAACATCGTTGACTATCGCATGCATCTGTCTTGCACACAAGAACACAGCTAGCCTCTTTCAGAGCACTATCAGTGCTATCCCGCTATTAAAATAAGATAACATTTATAGTCAATTAAAAATTGAAAATTCTTGAACAAGCATGTGTAGTTGCTATGTTCTGAGGTGGGAGTTTCCACTATTTATCAGAGATGTTTTGTCTTATATCAAATATATTTTTTAAGTGTTTTGTCTTTTTTTCAATCATATTTATGAAGTCTTTTAAAAGAAAAAAACTTAGGTATGGAAGGTTACATTATGTATTAAAGGTGTTCTGCCTTATATTAAAGTTTTACCAGAACCAATGACAATCATTTTTTATGAATAGTCTTTTAAAAGGCAAAACATGGCAGTAGAAGGTTCCATTATTTATTAGGGGTGTTCTTTCTTATATTAAAATCATGTTTATCAGAACCATTAACAATCATTTATGAAGTCTTTTAAAAGACAGAAATTAGGGGTGGAGGGGTCCATTGCATATTGGGGTTGTTCTCTTTTACATTATAATCAAGTTTATCAGAACAAATACAGTACTAGCAATCTTTTTGTTAGAAACTTTTAAAAAGACAAAACTCACCACAAACTCTGGCTGAATTGTAGTAGAATGAATTCCTCGTTTGTGGAAGAACTCCTTAAGACTCTCTGATGTTGCCATGTAATCGTCAACATCACCGGTGACAATTATGTGCGCTGTCGCTATCGTCAAATTTGACGTCAACTGCCACACATGAAAATCATGCAGACTGATATTGGGAAACTAAATATGATTAAAATAACAATAAATTTAAAATTATTAATAACAATTGGTTGGGTATGATAATGTGTATGTTGCTTATACCCTCATACATAACCCTGTTTAGGGCTACAATACTATGTTTACTGACCACATATTTTAGTAGAAACTTACCTGCTCCTTTAACAAGCTTGTAATATTTTCAACATCCACGTGAGATGGAATGGACTGCATTAGAATCATAGCTGATTGCTTCACTGAAAAAAATTTTGAAAAAAAAAATTGTTTAATGCCTGTTCACACGTGCACCTGATGTTTATTTACCATCTGGATATTATATAGGCGGTGCCCACAAAGACCGCCTATAGTGATTTTTACTGTCATATTGTAGCCATGATTTACCATACAGTGGCGGATCCAGGAATTTGAAATAGCGGAGGGTAGGTCTAGACCCTTGGTACCTAATTAATTTGTTTGAAGGGCCAAATTATTTTAAGAGTTGATCTGACGGGCCAAAGATAATCTCAGCCAAGGTGAAAGCAATTGTTACACATCTGAGTAAAACTCTTTCCGCTATTAGATACAGGTTTATTTTACAGTTCAAAATTATAGGGGCTTACTTTTAAATTGCACTAGGCCTACACTAGCAGCAGTCATAACCCACAATGTGGTCGCAGGGAATTTCTGTGTGGACGATGTGTCATAGTTTAAAAGTCAAAAAAATTCTCGCAACCCTGTACATAAAAAATGTTATTAACGAATCACAGTGAACAAAACAAAATACAGAGGCAGAACATGGCGGCATGTAGTCCTGTATGACTTGAATCATTTGCACGACCATCGAAATGTAGTTTTATAAGCACTGTTTACTAGCTGTATATATTCATGTAAAATAAGTATGCTTTAATACGAATAAGGTCCATTGATTAAAGCCCCATTCCCGGCAAAATTTTAGTTTTTAAGAAAAATCCAATTTTTGTATAATGTTATAAAGATTTATAAATATAATACGGAATTGCTAGTTCCTGAATTTAGACATTCCTAAGAATGAAAAAAAATGTAAAATAAGACTGAAATTTGATATTTTGTGTTCCACACAAAAAATAAATGCGGATGAATTTTTCATGTTGATTTTGCGATAGGTCGTGAGAAGAAATATCGTAGGCGCTGAAAACATTAGCCTATCCAACGCTGCTAGGCTAGGCCTAGCCTTACCTCGATTTAGGTTCTGTTATCACATATAAAAACGGCCGACATATTTTCCGTTGCTAGTATTGACACTTGTGAATACAATATTTCATAGGAATTATTTCAAATTTGTTAAAAAACTGATTTTGACTGAGATTTTGACACTTAAACAAACATATCTCAGAGTAACCGAACGACCGCATTGTGCGAGATGCGAAGTACAAAAACTAATCTCATTAGAGAGGGCACACGCTATTGACTGTATAAAGTATACATAAAAGCGAGAGTATTCCAGTGGATGCGATCTACAACCTCTGAATTTGCCTAGTAACGATCAATTCGTCGAGAAAATGGTAATATTTTATGAGAAATAGTCTGTATTTCTCATTTTTTTGTATTCTTTTGCGTAAAACTAAAATTCATGCCAATATTTTTCCATGATTTATAATAATTGGAGTAATGCAAATGCATATTTTCTAAAAAAAGTCAGTTTTTAGTGAAATTTTGCCGGGAATGGGGCTTTAATCTTAGATAAGAAAGTATAATACATACCCCAAGTATTGAAATGCACACCATTTGCATCCCAACACGATGGCAGGCATTTCAATACTTATTATGTATTATACTTTTTGTATTGCAATTTGGTGTTCACCTCTATGACTTAACAATGGGCTTCTTCTATCATGGGTCATCAATTAGTTATTCAGGCATAGGAATGCAATAATTAAAATGTCTATGATAAAGTTCTTACTTCCTCTATGCTGCTTTGTTAAATTTAGCAGAGCTAATAAGAATACCAATCTTGGAAATTTGTATCATATGTTCTGTTTACAGGGTTTAATTTTAGATCTCGGTGGTATAACCACACATCATAACATTTTTTTGCTTGTTTGGAGCACACAGTGAAGAGTAGGATCACAGGAAGTACCCAGTTGCTATTTATTCTATCTATGGCCTACTGTATATTTTATTTTTTATTTTATTTCAACTTTATTTCACGAGGGTAGCTCTAACAGTTGCACTACAGAGTACAGCTGACTTGAAGAGGCCCTCGAAAGAAAAACAATACATAAAATATATACAATACATTAAGAATCCAAGTAAGTAAAAGCTTTATTACGGTAAAGTTCAAAAACAATATAATAAATAAAATATTGGATAAACATTGTAACATTCATTAAAAATACAATAAACTTTAAAATTCATTATAAAATTACAAGGTGATGGTTAAAATCAGAATTTTATTGCTTTTCTCTGAGATATAAATTTAACTTGGTTAATTAGAATAAGATATATTGCATTTAAAAGGAAGAGTGTTAAGAAAGGAGGTGGCTCTGTAATAAAATGACATTTTAAAATACTGTAATTTAGGTTTAGGGACAAAAGGCCTACAGTTGTCAAACGAGTACGCATACCCTCGCGAGTAATGGGTTTCAAAAGACGATTGAGGTAATCAGGTGCAGAACCAGTGGCTGCTTTAAAAGCCAGGCAGCCAAGTTGAAGAGAAATTCTGCTAGAAACATTCAATAAATTAAGAGTTGAAAGGAGAACAGAAGAACGGGTACGAGGGTGGCAGTTAAGAATTATGCGCAAAGCACGGTTCTGTAAAGGTTGGATGTGAGAAGATATGCTATTACCCATAAAGCCCCAAAGCGAACAACAGTAAGGGAACCAAGATAGAGCCTTAGGGTACTCCCATATTGACAGAACGATAAGAAGATGAAGAGGTGAGAATAGAAACCTTTTTCTATCTTGCTCATTTTAACACCACCCCATACACATTAGGTAGGAGTTGCATTTTTGCCTTTTATTTACTGAAAATGCATTCATTGAACTTTCATTATATTTTTAATTGTTTTTTTTTCATTATTTTATTTTTCCTCAGTGGGGAAAAATTATATTCGTCTTGCAAACCAAATTGGGGCCGTGGGCTGCCTATTAAGAACCGGGGGTCTGGACCATCTCAACTCCACCGGTCTATGGTTGGGGCTGAATTTAAAAAATATTTAAATATACTGTTTCTTTTTTTTTTTTTTTCAAATGTCTTTTTTTTTATAAGTTTGCAGAATTTAGAGAGACATAGGTTGCTGGGTCCCCCTTGAATCCATCACTGCCATATCATTAACACTTGTTTCCAATTCCATTCAATTAAATTAATTGATGCTACAAAAGCCATCAAGGGCAGTTATCTGCAAGGTACAAAACGGAAACACTTCTTAAATTGCAAAATTTTGACAATTTAGGGCTTATTTAATCGATTTTAGGGTCTACTAATATGTACAAAATACACTTTTTTGTTCTCCCTGCCAAATTGTGGTTTTTTTCCCCCCGACGGGGGGCAGTGGTCACCACTGGGCTCTGCGATATGGTTAAAGCAGTTTTGATACCACACGAAGAAGAGAGGGTGAGATCAAGCCTAAGTGGGTATGACAAACTAATTGAGAAAGGGTGAAATGTGTTAAGAAAGCGAAAAAATCTCGCTTGACCGTGTAAAGGAAGATAATAAAGAGGGTGTTCGGGTGATTAGGCGATTTTGCAAAGGCAAATGAAAAGGAAAAACTTTTGACGTGTTTCGAAAGGGGTGATTCCACAGTTCAAGAAATTCTTTTGCTCAAAATGATTACAAAAAATAATTAGTAAATTCATACGTAATTAAATATAATTGATGATGACGATGATACATGATATATCATATGATTCAATATAACATAATTATTATGTTTTTGCTTTTTTTCATTGCATGTATAGTCCAGTCCGAAATGTAGCA